TGAGTTTCCACATTCAGTCACAAAATCATCCAATACATCAACCAACATGATTCATTTTGAAATGGAGAAACATTTGTCAGTAATACCAACTAAATCTTGAGAGAGGTGCAGACATGACAAGGTCAAGGGTGGATCCAAGATTTTTCAAGGTGGCTGGGGGTGGTGGGGGGTGTAGTGGCTAGTACCTTGGGGTGACGGAATCAACAAAGCATGCCCCCAAAATGGTGCAATTTGACAATTGGAACCAAATTGAAAAGTGTTACACCAGAAATACGTCTAGCAATGCCACAAAGTAGAAATTACAGTGAGGTACTTGTCCGGAGTGTTTGGCTTTATTTCTGTCATTGATAATGTTGGCAATCTTTTTCAATTTTTTAAAATTATTTTTTGCTTCTCCAAAAGTGGGCTGGCTAGCCACCCAGTCCACCTCTTCCCATCCCTAAACCAGAGCTTAAATGAAGGTTAAACAAGCGAGGTTACTCTGTTAACAAGTTCTCTGGTTAGGACTCCTAAAAAGTAATTTGCCTTGCCTTGTATTAACCAAATGGCACTCATGTAACCATAAAACAATTCAGGTCAACTGATACTTTTGTTTGCAACAAAGCACAAGTTTAAATGATGCTTGCGTAAACTATCATTAAGATTAAGTTAAGATTAAGAAAATAAGTAACAGTAAAGTGTTTTGTAACTTCAGTTCCTGCCATTTTAACAGTGCCTATTGTATGCATTGTATGTAACCTGTAGTAGTTGAGCCAATTGACATATGTTTTTAAAGTCAGGTACACCTCTACATCTAGCAAATTGACATCAGTTTTTCCTGCATCTGTCTTGTTACTGATCATGAATATTCTCATTTCATGATCAATAACAGGACAGACACATGAAAAACTGATGTCAATTTGTTTTTGTACAATAAACAAAATTATGGCTGGGCATCAATTTTAAATTCATGTATCTGTCTGCTTATTGACAAAATGAAAATTAGCCAATGAGCATGCAAGAATTTCTGCAGTTATTGTAAAATATGAAATGACGTTTATATAAATTTATATTCACAGATACATCATAAAAAGGCTATATCCAAAGATACGTGGAACCTTTTGCTAGACTTCAGTAACATGATTGAGGATGACATGAGCAATTATGATGAAGAAGGTGACTGAAATTACATGTATTATTATTTATATCTGACTAATTTATACAGTGTATCAACCCCTGATATTAAAAGAAATTTATGATAATTTTTAAGTTATTAACTGACTGGGAGGGCTGGATGGGAAAACATTACTTTGGCTCATGGTAATGGTTGCACTGACATACTTAACAGTTCGCTGCATAATTGTATGGACACCGTTATTATCAACATTGATTTTGAATAATAATGACCTTGTGGATTCCTGTTGCTTTTTTTCAGGAGCATGGCCAGTACTAATAGATGAATTTGTAGAGTATGCTAAACCTAAAGTCACAGGAAAGCAAACAACTGTATGATACAACCCTGCTTGCACTAGGAATATTGCGGCTGGAACATGGTCTGTCTGTGGTCATCTTTTTACAACACATCAATTGACAAACTTGGAACTTTGTCATTATTTTTCATGAAGATCTCAGTGACGACCGTCTAGAATTTAAGTGCAATATCATCATAAACAAAAAGCCTTTATTGCTGGACTGTAAAAGGATGTTTTCTTTCTATGACAACCTAATATTAATGACTGTCAATAGACTCATAATACCCTGAGGATGTACATAATGGTAATAAAACCAATATTTTCATACCAATTTCTTGTTACAATATTGTTACGTAGATAGGGTGGCTGTCTTCTTATACAATCCCTTTTCCCTTTGTAGATTTGTTATCTATTAGTCAGATTTTTCCTCCCTTTATAGCCACTCTTTGTAAAGTTTTTAGTTAAATTAAAATCAGAGGTAGTCCATATCCTTGCAACTATAACTGAATACTACTACCTCTGTGAACACTGAAAATTAAGATTGAAGTGTTAAACAGAATTAAAGCAATTTTTCTACCTCTTAGTGTTTGCTTGGCATATTTGATGTTGTTGTTGTTGTCACACCAGAAACAAAAGCTGGTACACAGTCAAGTAAATGTTGTTTTTCTCGTTTACAATGTTTTAAGATAAGTCACTGGCATCACTAGTTACATCTAACAATAGACCTTGCCAAAGTTTTGACAGTTGACAAACACCCAAATAGGAGAGGAGGCTCTCTCAAAGAACTTTGCAGTTGTAATTATAGTCATGCTCGACTTCATGCTTAAGTTTTGAGTGTTGCTGATAATTTTTTTTGGTTTCTGAGCTTGGCTTTCACATCTGGACTTGTGGGCATAACACAGTATTCATGTATGAACTTCAGGGCTGTCGTAATTTGGCTAAGACTGTTCAAAGCCTTGGGCTAAATATTTTCTTTGATTGATTAAAGTGTGAAAAGAGAACCTGCCAATTACCCCTTCATGCTCCTTTCTTGCTTTTTGTCATGAGAAAAACAGAAGCTGGAAATACTCTGCAATCTACTGAATGATAGTCAGAATAGACACTTTCCTGAAATATCTAAATTCATCAACTGGGGAGCAGGGATGGCGCAGTGGTGAGAGTGCTCGCCTCCCACTAATGTGGACCGGGTTCAATTGTGGCCTGTTGCCACATGTGGCAACAGGCCGCAATTGAATGCATGTTAGTTCTCCGCATTTTAAGTCAAAAGCTACACTAGGTGACCGTTCTTTTACCTGTGCTGCACTGAAACTTTAGAATGCACTACCATTTGACATAATTATAAGAAGCGTCAGCACTGTTAGTATTTTTAAAGCCAAGCTAAAGAGTCACCTTTTCCGTCATGCATTTTTATCATAGTTGTTTTTATTATGGTAAGTTTACTTTTAATTGTAATTTAAGCTTTTTAAAATCATTGTAAGTTTACTTTTAATTGTAATTTTAGCTTTTGAGCCTTTTTCTTCCGTTTTTAATCTTGTCATGCGCATTTGAACATTTTATGAAATTTGCGCATTATAAATAATTATTATTATTATTATTATTATCATTATTATTGTTATTATTATTATGTGGGTTGAGTTTGCTGTTGATTCTCAAGTTGCTCCGAGGGTGTTTTTTCTTCAGGTTCTCTGGTTTCCCTCCCTCCATAAAAACCTCCAATTCAACCGGGACAGAGGACCCGCATGAAAATCAACTGCTAAGGCTGATGTGGCTTCGTCTCTAAATGTTAGAATTTATTTGTTTTTATTTTAATTTTACCTTGCTGTATTGTGAAGTGTATTAAGACTAAAACATTAATAATACCCTTTGTGCCTGGTCCATTCTTGATAGCATTTGAGCAAGCCTTTCAGAGGGTCTAGAAAACTCTGGCGATTAAGCAGGTTAAGCCAATTTTGAGCGCTGGTTTACGTGTACACCCACATTTATCTGGCAGTTTACAGTTAAGAAATTATCATGTAGTTGTGTAAATCATAAATTTCGCGATTTTTTTTTTTTTTGCATGTTTTTGTTATAAACATTTCAAGCAATGTTTGTGTTTGTGAATGGCCTATCAGACGTCAAGACTTTTTGTTTGCAGGTTACTGTATGGAATTAGAACAAAACACTATGATCTAGATCATAGTCTCCTGGTTTTGAACTCATTCTGTTCTTAAGATCTTGTGGTGTTTGTGAGGAGAAAACGATTATTAAGCTAACACATCAAAAACCTTTATTGCCTATTTTTAAGAGATTGCTTATGATGATAATTGTCCTACTAGAAGGAAGGTTTCAGTTTTTTTTGGAGAAAACGAGAGTGGTCTGCGGTTTTGAAGGAACAAAATATGGCCTTTCGCAGAATGTACGACCCCCTACAACACCCTTCCTATTAGTTGGCTTCGGAGTAACCAAGTTCACAAACACTTCATCTCCAGTTCGTATAGTGTGATTGTCTGGCTGAGTGTAGCTCTGAAAAGAACTGTTGTTTGTCCCCAACAATAACAGTTCTTTTCAGAACTACACTCACCCGGACGATTACTATACGAACTACTGATACTACTGGGTTCAAACCATTTACTATACTTCATCTCCAGGTTGTTGATATCTATTTATTGTCACCCAACTATGTGTTGATCGTTATATCTTAACTCAATGTCTATTCCTACAAGTATCTTACTATTTAATATTCACTTCTTTCAAAACAGAAAAACTTAGCATTTGACTTGCTATGTAAAAATCAGAAATCTCGAAGCTTCCAATTTTGAATTCATATAAACAGAAAACCAGCAGTTCTTTGAGTACAGTTTGCTGACTGGATTCCCAGGATATCATCTTCCAATTCTTTGTACAACCCACTCTTGCTGGCATAATGGACATCTGTTATTTTGCACGACCCACAGTGACATACAGCAGTTATGAAATGAGTGATTACACTCTCCCCAAACAACTGAAATTTAAAACAAAAAAGTTTTCAAAATCATCATTCACTTGCTCCCATTCATTATACAATGATTCCAGCCACTTCATTGAGGAGAGCTACCCATGTCTCTGGACCTGCCTGATAAATGCATTGTAAGACAACCAGGGGTGGCTTACAAGAAGTACTATATTAGGGGTGGTGAATGGTCCATAAAAAAAAAACATGGATCTCACAAAATTTTCATTGAAGTTCACAGGTCTCACCCTGTCATTTTTTAGCAGTTATGTGCATCTTGCAGTCTCGATTTTTTCATAAAGGTTTCTCACAGTCTCGATTTTTTGCAAGGCTAAGAAAGTCTTGAACTACCTATTTGTTTATTCCATTTTTTGTTTGTTTTGTTTTGTTTTGTTTTGTTTTTACAAATGACATCTGAATGTCTTAGAACCTGAAAGGTCTCACACACTCTGAAGTCTCCAGTCTCCCAGATGAAGAAGTCAAAATGTCTCGGACTCGCCAAAAGAAACGCTAGTCTTGTCTTCTGACAAAGTCTTGCATTAACCATTCACCACCCCTTAATATTTTCTGTGAACACCAGTAACATGGTATATAGACTGACTGGTGTACTGTCACATATCAATGAAGTGCAAATGAGAGTTTCTCTTTGTAATAAGTTTTTTTTTATTTTTGTAATAATTTTTGGCAAGAAACTTGGAGCAATTATTCCAATTCTCTTCATATGGCATGCACTGATGTTTCTGCCATGATTCCATGGGGGTTTTAGATTGAAGGAGGGGTGTTTGGTTGGCTGTAAGTGCTTAATTGACGATATACAGTATGTTAAAAACAGTTGTTTACCAACACATTCCTCTTGTTTGTTGTCGGACTGGCATCGAAGGCAAGCATCTATGAGAAAGGGAAGCATTGGCAGTACATGTAAGTACAATATTTGGTGCTACCCATGACAAATAAAGTTGGATTGTCATGATTGATTGATTGATTGACTGATTGATTGATTGACTGACTGACTTATTGAGTGCCTGATTGAATGCCTGATTGAGTGCCTGATTGATTGATTGAATTGATTGATTGATTGATTGATTGATTGATTTGCTGACTGACTGACTGACTGACTGACCGATCAGTCAACCAATTGATTGATTGATTGATTGATTGATTGGTTGATTGGTTGATTCATTGATTGACTAACTGACTGGCTGGTTAACTGACTGACTGATTGATGGATGGAAATCATCTGTAGCCAATCGAACATGCTTATATCAGGGTGATTTTTTTTTTTTAATTAAAGCTTAAGCTCAAGCTTTTCATCACTCATTTCCACATATTCACTTACACTTTCAGCCAGAAGCAAGTATTTCTTATAGTTTATACTGCCAGTATAATCTAAATCAGCAACATAAGTCTTCTAATGAAAATACCAATTGTAAACGAGGAACAATAAATCAGCTTATACAAGTTAGAACGATTTAGAAAGGAAAAACTGACCCATCACTTGCACACGGCAAATAGCACATGTATCACATTCTACGTCCCAAGACCACATGGCCACGGCATTCCACTTTTTCAGAGTAAACATCTTTTGTACTCCTTGTTCTTTAGAAGGTGTGCTTTCCTCCATGGTCACATCCTGTTCTTCAAGCGAAGTTTCGGCGGCCATTTTGACTATCCCATAAGCCACCTCACTCACTGCCTTGACAACGGAAAAAGTTTATAGCACTTCGTTCTCAGGGGACCCCACACGAAGGAGTCTTGGTCACGAAATAGAAAAACTTTAATAAAATCACTTTCACTTTACATTTTTGCATTTTTCTTTTGTTTTCTCATATCTGCAACATAAATTTGTGATATCCTATTGTTGGCATCAACATTTTGAATCACTTCATACGAGAGATCATAACGGATCTTGTAAAGCGTGCAACGCTTGACTTCCTGGGGACACGGGGTAAGTGGCACTTGTTTGCTCGGATTGAGGTCATTAATCTACATTTCAACATGGCACAGCTCCAAGGGTACGGCTATCCGCCTCCTGTAGAAAATAGTGGACCTCCAAATCAATACGGTGGTTATCCACCGCCTCAGCAAGGTTATCCACCACCTCAGCAAGGTTATCCGCCGCCTCAAGCTGGTTATCCACCGCCACAGGCTGGTTATCCACCACCACAACAACCTGGATATGCTCCGACACAACCAGGCTATGCACCTCCTGTCAACCAACAACCTGGTAAATTTCGATATTTTTCGCGGGTTTCATTAGGCTTATTGTATTATTCACGCCTTATTATTAGGAAAATCCCGCCAAACTTCTACTGTTAATCTTGTTAACCTACTTTTGTATGCGATCACAGCACAGGAACTTCGGCATGGAACGTGCTGATAACGCGGAAGATACCGCCTCTTTCGAATTCTTTTAAAATTGTTTTTAGAATATTTTGCGAAGAAAAACTGTTGTCGTCGTTTTTCTTTATCATTTAAACATGATAAGCTTGTATAATTTTGCTTTCTGGCTAAGTGGTGAATCACCTTTTAGTGCTTCAAATTTAACATTGCGTCACTTAAACTGTATGTTTGCTTTGTTACGTTGTTTTCAAATGCAGAGATTGGGAACATTTCCTCGATTAAAATTTTAGCCTAACTTTTTTTAGGTGAAAAGCTGTTAAAACTATGTGCACTAAACATCGCTCATCAGTCTGATAATAATCTTAATGATCGAAGACGTTTAGTGTGCGTCGTTTTAACAGCTTTTTACCCAAAAAATTATATAAGCTTAAATGTAGAGTCGTGCGTACGTATCGCGACTATTCTTCCGGTGTTAGGGTATGCTGCCCCAGGACAAAGCCAGTGGATGCAAGCTCCTCCAGCGCCAGCAAACTGTCCACCTGGTTTGGAATACCTCACCCAAATCGATCAGCTTTTGGTAAAACAGCAAGTCGAACTACTGGAAGGTGAGAATTAATTAGCTCTGAACATTTGTAGAGACATGGCATCAGTCTTACTATATATTATAAAGCTTATCGGAAAGATATTACTTCCCGCTAAATATATTGTATTATTATTATCAGATGCTGCATTTTATTCTTAATATTTTTCGCAGCTTTCACGGGCTTCGAGACGAACAATAAGTACAAGATTTTAAACAGCATGGGGCAGCAAGTGTTTTTTGCTGCGGAAGGTAAGTGTGTTCGATTTTATTAATAACAATGATGTATTTTTGCCACATTGTGTAGATCATGAGTTCAGCTGCCACACGTTTTGACACATTCAATGCATGTAGCTGTTTTTAACATGATAAACTTTAATTTAAAAATGTTTTCTTGAATTCCTTGGACTTTTTAACAAATTTGACAAATACATTACCTTTTTTTACTTGGTGAAAACTTGCGTAGTTCATTGAGGTAAGTGCAGACTGTGTGTGAGAATGAAGTTATTTTTTTCCCGCGCGTTTTCAGGTGGAACTGATTGAATCTATAAACAGGAACACTCAGTAACAGTGTTCCTGTTTAGGCCTTCTTTCGGCTCTATCAGATAATCCTTGGAACAATTTTTCCTCATTCTTTACAAGTAACTCACAGCAATCATGTCTGTCGTTGATAATAAATAATATTTCCTTGTTGCATCACTAAAATAATTAAGTCTAGTAGCTGATAAACATTCACATCAAAAGCGTGAATTACCGGAAATTTAATACAGATTGGAGAATACCAAACCTTACATTAAGAGGGTCGTAGAGGGGTATTCTCGTGACGCATGATCAGCTGATTTTATTTCCTGTGAAATGTGAATTTAGGAAATAATTAGTTCGTGGTCCATCACCTGAAGGTTTTGCTTGACCCATGAGAAACTTGAATTATTCACTGATATTCGTGATTTCACCACCCTATCCTACGTTATTTTGAGACACGAATCCTCCGAATGGTTAGAGTCGTCTATCGAGAATGACTTAGACATGCAATTTGCAATATGGAGCCTTAACTTAGTCTTTGATGATTTTCCTTTCTTCAAAAACTCTCTCTAGTGTGAGAACAGGTTATTAAAAAGAGTATCTTACTTGCTTATTTTCGTGATTCGGGAAAACAAAATTTTTATATGTGTGATCCATGATCCTCAATTTTTTTTGTTCGTGAACCATGCCAGAGACCCCCCCNCCTGTACAACCCTCTATTAACATTAAGTTTCCATAAGAACGGGAACATTTTAATTTGTTATCTTGTCTTTGATCTGATGGATGTTTGATGACATCAAAGCTAATAAAATAAGTGTGATTTATGATAAGAAGACATTTTATAAGATGCAGGCTTTATGGTAGGGTTAAGATTTTATGTTCAAGACCCAAAAAGATTTACTTACTAGGTTAAGGAGAGTTATGTAAACAGAGTGATCAAAATAATGTCTGTTACATCCTGACATGACAAGACCCAGGGTTTTTGAAGGACCCTTCTTCCTCCCTATAACATGAAGTCAGTGTCTGAACTCAGTGTCTGTAGTCTTCAGTCTGCATTTTATCCCTGGTCTGCAGTCTACAGTCTACAGTCTGTGTTTTACTCTAACCGCTCGGATATCACGTTAATCCAGTGCAAGTAGCCCTCTGGCAGTGTTTTATTAAAGTCTAGTAACAGTTTGCTTGTAAAATATTCTAAAATATTGTATTGTATTGCATTGCATTGCATTGCATTGCGTTGTGTTGTGTTGTGTTGCGTTGCGTTGCGTTGCGTTGCATTGTGTTGTGTTGTATTGTATTGAACTGTAGGTAGAGTGAGTATATGCCATTTTGTAAGTAGATTATAAAGTACAATCTAAGTAATTATGTGTTTTTGCAATAAAAATAAAAAAATGTTCACTTGTCCCACTCTGTTATTGTGTAGAGAATACAAACTGGATCGTGTTTACTAAAGGTATCCGTGGTTGAGTGTTGATCGATACCCTCAATTGATACCCTTGATCAACATCTCAATCGGTACTCAATCAACATCACGATGGATACTCGGTTGACACTTGATTGACACTTGATCAACAGTCGGTCAATACAATGTAGTCAGCCACATGTTGACTGACTCATAGGCGTTGATCAAAAATTAACTGACTGTCGATCGAGATGTTGATGGAGTGTCGATCGATTGAGTGTCAACCGAGGAGGTGTCGGTGAAGTGTTGATTGAGTATCATTCAAGTGTCCATCAAAGGTCAATCAGGGGAATTGAGTGAGGGTATCGATCAACACTCGATCCTGTATGCCTTTAGTGCACCTGATCCTACGAGCTTAACATGACTATTTCATACACCACTTTTTTTTTTTTTTTTTTAGACACAGATTGTTGTACTCGGCAATGCTGTGGTCCAGGCAGACCTTTTGAAATGAAAATCTTAGACAATCTCCAGCGGGAAGTTATCCATCTGACACGCCCACTGCGTTGCTCATCTTGTTTCTTTCCATGCTGCCTTCAAGAGATTGAAGTACAGTCACCCCCTGGGACTGTTCTTGGTTACTGTGCTCAAGAGTAAGAAAAAAAACTTCTTATGTAAACTGTCCTGTACACATTATAACTAAGTTTGAAATGAAATGTGACCTCTTAACATTAAATTCCCTGGTACCTGTTAACACACCTATACCTTATTATATAAAATTGTACAGCAGAATATTTTCTATCCCTGATGATCAGCCATGGATCGGTGAAAACTTGGAACATAATTTGACTTTTAATAATTTTTTACAGTAGTTTAAGGTGTCACTCAAAAGAACACTAGATTATCCAGTATGGTACTGAAGGACAACATTTGAAATACTTAGTGACACAAGCTAATAAAACCATTTTGTTAGGCACAAAGAGTCTATTTCCGTCCCCAAAATAAATATCTTGATCATTGATGTGTTGTTCCATACAATATTCCTACCCCTCCCGCGGAAGGTTTTTTGGTTACAACCCTCCCACACCTCCAGAAATTCCAGTTTGGCTTCATAATTTCTTTTAAAAATTTTGGTTTTTGAAACCCCCCTCCCCTTCAGAATTTTCAGTAACCTTCTTTGGGGTGGGTATGGATATTTTCTGAAAATGCACAATATTCCAATCATATTTAATAACAGTGTAACTGATTATTTTGTAAGTAAGCCATATAAATGAACTTTTTTTGTATCATTTTCAGGTGGTCGATTTGTATTCCAAAGTTTGAAATTCAAAATGCTCAGAGGGAAACAGTGTTACGCATTGAGGGACCTTTTTGTCAGTGTAACATCTGTGGAGATGTTGAATTCCAGGTGAGGCTCTAAAATGTTGTGGCAGTCTCTCTATAATTTACTTTATTTCTTTCTTAGCCAAAACTAGTAAATTTTTAATAAAAGTTTTCAGTATATTTACAAACACTACAGTAACTTGACCTTCCACTTCAAGATCATTGTTCTATTTACTCCTTAGTTTGGGGCCTTTTCAGGGGGGGGGGGGAGGTGGTTGGGCATGTAAATCTAATATCAGTGTGACAGTTAGGCATATTGAATATAATAATCATGACATACTTGATTACTGGTAGTAATAAATTTGAATGTCAATCGAACTTTTTTTTTTGCACTTGTAAGGTACTCTCTGCAGATGGCCAAAACCAGGTTGGAAAGATTTCCAAACAGTGGAGCGGCCTTGCCAAGGAAGCGTTCACTGACGCCGATAACTTTGGCATCACATGTAAGTCCCCTCGATTACTTATTTCATGAAATTCATCATCTATTAGTAATAAACTATTTGCAATATATTAAAATTCAGCTTGGCAGTGGGGCTCAGAGGACACAAACAAAGGAAATATTGAATGACATGTTTATTCATTTCTTTTGTTTGTGTCCTCGAGACCTCACTTTCAAGCTGAATTTTAATATATTGAAAGTGACCTATTTCATCTCACAAAATTTAATTAAATCACTTCATTGGATGCTTACAGTGGAGTATCTTAAGGACTGTTCTGGAAAGCACTGTATAAGCAGTTTGTTCAGAGTAAAGAAACCTCGTTTACTCAGTGTTTGGGTCATAAACGTTGTTTGTAATATAATATAATTCTGCTGGCCCAATAAAGCATTATATATATTTTTATGTTTTTGAGGGGTAGTACAAGGGTGGCATTTTGTCCTATCATTTCTGAACAAAGCATCAATTAGCCTTTACAGCTTACTGTGTGAGAATATCAAAAGTAACTGATTGAAAGTTATCTTCCAAAGTTGGGGTCACTCATTCTTAAGAAATTAAAAATGATTTTGATGGGAGATGAAAGGGAGTCCATTCTCTTTGCAAGATTTTATTTTAGAAACAGTTACATGTATTGGTTAGAGGATTACATGCAGGGTTTGGATCTTGGAACAAAGCCTCCCCGAATAAAACTTTGTTGAGTTACCCTCAAGGGTACAGGAGGACTACCCAAAAGATTTTACAATAAGATGATTAGAATCAATGGTGGTGACAGGTTTGAGAAAAAATGTTACCTGTGCATGATTTTACTTAAGTTCTCAAAACTAATTAATCTGAAATGTTTTTAATTAATGCTACTATTTTCAAATACATAGTTTTATGCAATATTTTAAGGGTTAAGTGAAAAAATGAAAACCCAAAACATTCATGATGATACAATCTGGCAGGGGAAGGGAACTTGCATATAAAAGCACTTGGGTGCTCATCATACCTTTTAGGGGAAAAAAAAGTGGTTTTGGTGCCTCGTTGGGTGGTCTACAAGTCCACAGCAGAAGCTTTTGCGGTATCTTTGAGGGTATTGAGCCAAACAAATATGACAGGACATAATGTGTTGTTTTAGAATTGGTACCTCTTAGGGGTCAAAAAATTCCAAGCCAAGCCCACAAAATGAGATCTTGGTACCTTGTGGGAGTGTCCCCCAGAGATTTTGATGGGCTCCATTACCAGCCACTTTTCTGGAACGTAGACTTGGAAGAGTTTCGAAAATCAAGCCTATCATTTTGAACATGATATTTAAAGCCTTAAGCCTTCCTGTGAATTTTGTCAAGTACATCTTTCATTAATTCCTAGTCTTTGTTTTTCTGTTATTTTAGTTCCTATGGACCTTGATGTAACAACAAAAGCTGTTGTTCTTGGTGCTTGTTTCCTTATTGTAAGTACACTTTTTCATGACATAATACTTTCATAAGTGTGCAAGACAAGCAGGAAGCATGAAGCAAGCAAGACATAGAGTCGGCCATGGGGCAGGGAGGGGGGCGAGGACTCCTATGTGAAGAGTTTGGGGATGCTCAGCGAAAAATTTGAATGAAACCCTTAAGAGAGACCAATTTGGACATAGTTCAAACTTTATTTGATGCCTCTAAGATACTGCTTTGAAACGGACAGCATTTTTTTTTATTGTTTCTTTGAGAGCAACCCCAAAAGATACCTTGACATCTGAAAATCGTGGGTTTTCACACCTTAAGTGAGACCAAAATTTGCCATGACATCCCCAAGGGAAACAACGAGCGTGGGAGTCTCTCCTCCCCCCGGGAGAGTCTGGTGCCTGTGGTTAGACTATTCTCATCCCCAGAGCCCCTGTCCCTCTTAATGGGCAGACCTTGGCTTATAAAAGAGTGACTCTGGAAACATGATCTGCTTAGGTTCTAAAAATGTATTCGTGGGTATACAGCACATAAAGATCTTCACAGATTTTGAAAAAGGAAATAGTTACAAAACAAATTAAAATTCTGACCTCAAGTATGTTCATTTTTATGTTCTGTTATGGAGGATTTCACTGAAAATTCTTCATGCAAGCCAAGTTTTAAGTTCCTGGAGGTCTGAAGGTAAATTAGTTGAACGGTTTAGTTAGAGATCAACCAGGGGATATTTCCAGAAAGGAAATTATCATTGAATCAGTGAAAATCTTGCTCCAAGAATCAGGCCCATCAAATCGTGTATCTCCAGAGCCACCCCACGAGCGAGAGGGACAGGTGGCTCTGGGGACGAGAATCATTGGTTGGAGCGCAGCTTAGCCAGGTGTCCTGCCAGGAGGTCACAGTGCAGTCTTGTTTTCTAACTTCCTTTACATAAGGCTACACAATTTATTGAACGCTGTCTATTCGACAACCCGCGGTGTGCAACGTATTTTAAACAGTTCTTGATTATTTTTAATAGTTATTAAGTCTTACCGTAATAATAGAGGAGTTCACGCTCTAAGGGGCATTATGGGTAATCAGGGCAAATTTACAAAGAAGCAAAGCCATAAAACAAATGTTTATCTTTATATTTCCGTTCTGATTTCACATTTGGAGACGAAACATATACTGTAGACGGAAAAACCCCTTTTCTAGGTTTACCAGAGCGTTTTTGAACCGATGGAGTAATTGTTGTGGGCGTAGGAATTTTTTTTACCTTTAAAACCGAATGTGATCAAGTCTTGGCCGCTCAAGCCACAAAAATAACATCACCGTTACTCTGATAAGTAGGCTAATGCCTAGCTCAATCGACTCAAAAACGCTAGTAAATGTAGAAAAGGGGTTTTTCTGTCTACAGTGTATGTTTCGTCTCCAGATGTGAAATCAGAAAGAAAATATAAAGACAAGCATTTGTTTTACGACTTTGCTTCTTTGTAAATTTGCCCCGATTACCCATAATGCCCCATGGAGCGTGAACTCCTGTATTGAGACTAAAGTTGCTGACGTTTGATTTCACTTCAGGATTTCATGTTCTTTGAGCAAGCACAGGGCCACGACGATCATAATTAATTCAATCTCGAAACGTTATATATCACTCTTACAACGCAAGTACTATGTTGATCATCTCTCGTCAAATGTTAAGTTTGTGACATTAGTATAAATAGAGACAAACAGAATTTTAGATGCCCGTGAAGAGTAGGTTGAACCTTATAAGAAGATATGATGGCGACCGATCGCTAGAGAAGCTTGAAATGTAGGTTTTGTGTTTTAAATTGCTTTACTATTTTGCCATTAAATTGTAGTAAAGTATCGCAAAGTAAATTAAGTATACAGAAACTAGAGAGATGCGTAGGAACACAGGCAGAAGTTTTTTAACTCGTCCCCAGTCTTCTCTCGTTATAAAAAATTATAAGACGCGAAGGTTAAGATGAAAACAAAGGAGTTCATGTTTTGTCCGTCGTATTGTCCTTCCTTGTGGACGAGTTAAAACCTTTCGTTTCGCCCATTACTCCAGAAGAAGAATACTGTAGACACGGTATGTTGCGTTAGTCCCCCGGGGGGGGGGG